GTTTGCTGGGGAGACCGTAACATCCAGGGGCCAGATTTACGAAGCAGTTACGCAAGCACTTACGAACCTGTACATCTTTTCCAATCTTCGGCGGCTTTGTTTACAATTATTAAACAGTTAATGAGCCCCGAAGCATCAGGAGGCTGTTTATAACAATAACAACAGTTAATTGGCAAGTTTTCAAGCTTGTAAACTGTTTAATAAATGTAACCAAAGCCGTCAAAGATTGAAGAAAGATGTACAAGTTTGTAAGTGCTTGCGTAACTGCTTCGTGAATCTGGCCCCTGATCTTTGTAAACACCTCTAATCCATACATTCTTTCAGTGACAATGTAAAGTAACTCTCTCGGTAAACTTTCCACACACTGGTGTTGTCCACCGATCATTGGGCCGTTATCTTGAGATGATTTCGGGGCTTTAGTGTCCCCGCGGCCCGGTCACCAACCAGGCCTCCACCCCCAGGAAGCAGCCCGTGACAGCTGACTAACACCCAGGTACCTATTTTACTGCTAGGTAACAGGGGCATAGGGTGAAAGAAACTCTGCCCATTGTTTCTCGCCGGCGCCTGGGGATCGAACCGTCCTCACGGTTCTGCCCCATTCTCGAAACGAAAAAAAATGTTGCTTTCTCCGCTGTTGAAAACGGGTTAAACTCTACTCTCCTCACTCACCCTTCACTCTATAGTGGTCCTCTACCCACTGATCTATCATCCTATAGCTTTAACTCCTCTGATTTTCCTCTTATGCTGCGTCTCGAAGGATTTACCTGTCCTCTCGTGCAATAACCTTAAATTTAAGTAATAATTTTAGTGTAGTTGGCCCCAAAGTTAATCTGTCTTTCAACCCGGAGGAAGAAGGGAAGGCTTGTGCGAAATCTACCGGTGATTAATTTATTCAATTCTCGATTAATTTGGAATAAACTGGTTTGAAATTTTGATTTTTTATTATTTACAACTTCTAAGATGATTGTATATATGATTTAAGTTCACCAGTAAATTCCTTCACATAAACTTTAGGAGATTTATATATTCAATTTATCAGAACGTACTTATATAGTTGATGAATATATAGTTTAATTATACTAAAACTAAAGTGTTAGTATTCAATTAAGAGATTAATGTCAATAAAAGATGTCAACTTATCTGACTAGATAACTTCAGAGTCCATAGGAGACAAGGTACAACCCGATAGGCTCAGGAATCTGTACACCTGTTGATTGACGGTTGAGAGGCGGGACCAAAGAGCCAGAGCTCAACACCCGGAAGCACAACTAGGCGCAGCTCAAGTGGACCTCCTCCGCCACAACAATGGCGTCTCCACCCAGATGACGCTACTCAACATGACAATCTCTCACCTGTAGTGACGTCCAGACCCTCAGCCTGACGAAGTGATATATTGCAGCCGAGCACCAGAATGGATTGTTATATTTTGATTGTTATACAGTCCTTTAACGCAATCTTGTTCACACTGTAGCTTACACCATAACTTGTTCTCTCACTGTAGCTTATGCCATAACTTGTTCTCTCACTGTAGCTTACACCATAACTTGTTCTCTCACTGTAGCTTATGCCATAACTTGTTCTCTCACTGTAGCTTACACCATAACTTGTTCTCTCACTGTAGCTTATGCCATAACTTGTTCTCTCACTGTAGCTTATACCATAACTTGTTCTCTCACTGTAGCTTACACCATAACTTGTTCTCTCACTGTAGTTTACACCATAACTTGTTCTCTCACTGTAGCTTACACCATAACTTGTTCCCTCACTGTAGCTTACACCATAACTTGTTCCCTCACTGTAGCTTACACCATAACTTGTTCTCTCACTGTAGCTTACACCATAACTTGTTCTCTCACTGTAGCTTACACCATAACTTGTTCTCTCACTGTAGCTTACACCATTACTTGTTCTCTCACTGTAGCTTACACCATAACTTGTTCTCTCACTGTAGCTTACACCATAAATTGTTCCTTCACTGTAGCTTACACCATAACTTGTTCTCTCACTGTAGCTTACACCATAACTTGTTCTCTCACTGTAGCTTACACCATAACTTGTTCTCTCACTGTAGCTTACACCATAACTTGTTCTCTCACTGTAGCTTACACCATAACTTGTTCTCACTGTAGCTTACACCATAACTTGTTCCTTCACTGTTGCTTACACCATAACTTGTTCTCTCACTGTAGCTTACACCATAACTTGTTCTCTCACTGTAGCTTACACCATAACTTGTTCTCACTGTAGCTTACACCATAACTTGTTCCCTCACTGTAGCTACCTGTCACTACACCATCACCCATCACCACACCCTCATCCATCACTACACTATCACCACACCATCACCCGTCACCACACCCTCACCCATCACTACACCCTCACCCGCCACTACACCCTCACCCTCCACTACACCATCACCCGCCACTACACCATCACCCGTCACTACACCATCACCCGTCACCACACCATCACCCGTCACTACACCCTCACCCGTCACCACACCCTCACCCATCACTACACCCTCACCCGCCACTTCACCATCACCCGTCACTACACCCTCACCCGTCACTACACCCTCACCCGCCACTACACCCTCACCCTCCACTACACCATCACCCGCCACTACACCCTCACCCGCCACTACACCCTCACCCGTCACTACACCATCACCCGTCACCACACCATCACCCGTCACTACACCCTCACCCGTCACCACACCCTCACCCATCACTACACCCTCACCCGCCACTTCACCATCACCCGTCACTACACCCTCACCCGTCACTACACCCTCACCCGCCACTACACCCTCACCCGTCACTACACCATCACCCGTCACCACACCCTCACCCGTCACTACACCACCACCCGTCACTACACCCTCACCCGTCACTACACCCTCACCCGTCACTACACCATCACCCGTCACTACACCATCGCCCGCCACTACACCATCACCCGTCACTACACCCTCACCCGTCACTACACCCTCACCCGCCACTACACCCTCACCCGTCACTACACCCTCTCCCGTCACTACACCATCACCCGTCACTACACCCTCACCCGTCACTACACCATCACCCGTCACCACACCCTCACCCATCACTACACCCTTACCCGCCACTACACCATCACCCGTCACTACACCCTCACCCGTCACTACACCCTCACCCGCCACTACACCCTCACCCGCCACTACACCATCACCCGTCACTACACCCTCACCCGTCACTACACCCTCACCCGCCACTACACCCTCACCCGCCACTACACCCTCACCCGCCACTACACCCTCACCCGTCACTACACCATCACCGGTCACCATACCCTCACCCATCACTACACCAAAACCCGCCACTACACCATCACCCGTCACTACACCCTCACCCGTCACCACACCCTCACCCGTCACTACACCCTCACCCGTCACTACACCATCACCCGTCACTACACCATCACCCGTCACCACACCCTCACCCGCCACTACACCATCACCCGTCACTACACCCTCACCCGTCACTACACCCTCACCCGCCACTACACCCTCACCCGCCACTACACCCTCACCCGTCACTACACCATCACCGGTCACCATACCCTCACCCATCACTACACCAAAACCCGCCACTACACCCTCACCCGTCACTACAACATCACCCGTCACCACACCCTCACCCGTCACTACACCACCACCCGTCACTACACCCTCACCCGTCACTACACC